AAAGGAGACATGTGGATGGAGGTTGCTAATATGTTAATACGTATAACTCCTAATTATTATGGTCTTTAAGATTGACAATAATCCTCTTGACTTTCACATAACCGTTACTTCACCTTTAAGTATTGTTCCTTTACAATTTCGAACGAAATTTTGATTCTTAGTTGTTCTAATTTAATTATAAAATATGGTTATATATAGATGAACTTCAATTTTTATGTGATTAAAGCTTAATTTGATTAACATATAATTTTAAGTACTTCAAAATAAATACATACAATTTATAATTTTTTTTTCCTTTTTATACTTAATGGAGACTACATGAAGTTGAATTATAATTAATTTTTCAAGTCATAATATAATATAATTATTAATTACTAACCATCAAAGGAAAAAAAAAAAATATGTGAGTAAAATTGGTATTTAAAAGGTTCTCCTCAGTAATTCATTTTAGTATATTGTAGATAATTAGTTTTGTAATAGTGATTTTTTTGGAGAGATCGTTCTTTTCCATTTACTTGTAACACGCTTTCGGCCACCTTTTTTTTAAAAGATAAGGTGGGACCTTTCCACCTAAAAACTCATTATCAATCCAAATGCTTAGGTTTATATTAAAAATTATTTTATTAAGAGAACATATGATTGAAAATGAGTTTGATGAAAAATTAATTTTCAAATATGAGATTCAAACAGAGGCAAAGTATCTTCTCAATTCTATTTCATGAACACCACAGAGAAAAAACTTCCAAATGCGAAAGCTCTTATCAAGTGTTCCAAGGGATACACATTATTTAAAGAATCAAAATCATTTACACTCTTAGAATATAATGTCTGAAAAAGGGAAAAAAAAAATCTTTGCTCATCAAACATGAGCCTAAAAGCTTAAACAATGGAATTCTACACTCCATTTTCTTTATCCTGATGGCTCACCAGCAGCGGTGTTGTATCTTTCTCTTTAATCTGAAACAACCCAACAATAATATTGAATAATTAATTATATATATGAAAAATAATCGAAAACGGGCCGAGGTCGAGAGAGATTATTACCTGAGGCATGGATGAAACATCTCCCCCTTGTTTCTTTTTGCTTTCATTGGTGCAGAAATAGGAATATAAACCCATTCCAATAATGGCAATTAGTATGCCAAGAATGTTTCTTGCAGTGAAAGGATCATGCAGAAGTGTATAACCAAATGCAAGAACAAGACATGTCTTGAGATGACCTAGTACTTGATATGTAACTGGCGATGTCTTTCCAATCACTAAAAATGTGCTGAAGTTCACAAAAACGGCTATCACGCACGAAAGCAGAATGAAAGACTGCAATTTGTTAGGCACGATACATCGTCAGTTGGATCAGTGTATCTATTTAATGACATGAATTCGACTGGTTAATTATTAAATATTGCCACATATGTAGGGCCGTCAAAAAGTCCGACTCGCAAAATGACTGCCAGGCTCAATGAAATGGCCCACTAGGTGAGAACTCAGAAGAAAGTTTAAAATGTGTGAGTCACTAGAAGTTAAAATAAGAAGAGAATTCGGTCGGAGGGCCTGGTCCGCCTTTTTGACACCCCTACGCTGTAGGACTTTCATTTGCGTTGGTGCGCAATTTGCACTCGCATATATTTATTTATTTACTCGCTTTTATAAGACTTCTTCATGTATGCACATGATTTTCTAGCAAAATCAAAACGATGAAAAATAAACTCGGACCACGATTCCTTAAATTTGGTTTTGGGCTGGGCTGTGCTCGACCAACCAGGATCGAATGACATGACATGGACATACGTCGACTAAGAAATGGGAATTAGTGAAACCTTACCAATACAACAGTGGAATATTTGTGAGCAAAAACATTCTGTTTGGTTAGGCATTGATCCACGAAAGGGCCCGAAACAAAAAGAATAGCAGCTTGAAATGGGGCTGATTGGTACAGCAGCTGAGTAGATGATACATTTAGCTTCTTTTGTATTGTGTTTGTAAGCTGAAATTCATCAAATTAAGGATAAAAAACTGCCCAAAAACGATGGCCTTAACACGAATTGCATTAAGGCTGTACTTTATGTCCCTATCAAAATGTTGGCGGACCATCCCATTTTCTAGTGAGCCCCTACAGTTAGCCGCTCATGTAGGCCTACATGTAGCCTGGTTTAGATAAAAATCAGATTTTTAATAGATTTTGATAAAATTGTCAAATATAGGTTGAAAAGTTGAAGATCCCATAAAATGTGGCTAAATGTTGACTTTGACTTATATTTTAATTAAATTTTTTAGCTAAACCAAACAAAGACTTAACAAGTGCACCTATCCATATTATGATTATCTAAAGGGCCTTAAAATAAATCATGAACCTAAATTTTCTAATTAAAGATAGCTGAAAGAAATGAAGGATACAATTTGGCCAACACAAGTTGTTAAAATGGCAAGAAGTGAGAGGATTGTGCCAACAAAATTGAGCTGAAGATCAGTTACAGATGCAATGCCAACTCCAAGAAGCAAGACGAGTAGAGATAACTTAATCTTCTGGCTGCAAATATACATTTCAGAGTAAGATTTTTAGGGGCCTGATTTTTTACATACATTTTTAGAGAGTTTCAGTTACTCACCTGAACTGTTTTTTCAAAAATATGGTTTCTAACAGTACAGTGAAAGGTATAATTGCAAGTTTTGTCA